GGGGGGGGGGTCCCGGAGCGCTCACCCAGCTAAACGCTCGACCCCAGGTTGGAGGATGACAGTGGGCACCCACCCAGGGCACATCAAAGGACACCCCTAGTGATCTAGTTCTCACAGGTCACTGCCTGGACAAGCCTGTGGGGCACTTTGCCCTTGGCACACACGGGGCGCCGTGAGTGGGAACACCCCCCCGCCCCCCTCCCACGGCTGCCAGCAGCAACACCAGTGGCTACATGTGTGTCCCCCAGCAGTGCAAACGATCAGTGTGTGCCACAGCTCACCGGAGATTTGGGAGTGGGAGCCCACCCAGAGGGGCCTGGGAAGACAGGGCCAGAAAACCTACAAACACAGACTCCTGTCGTCTGTTCGACTCCGGTTCAACTCTCCGCGGCCCTCTGGGACAGGGTGGAACTGCCCCTGTGGGCTTCCCAGACCGTACTCCTGACGTAAGGAGAGCGCCTCGTCTTTCTCCCAAGGGGCGGCTGGTGGTTTCAAACCACTGGCCTTGTGGTCTGCAGCACAACACGTAACCACTGAGCCACCAGGGCTCCTGAAAACCCAACAGGGGGCTCTGCTCTGACCCCTGAGGTCACCAGGGATGGGGATCGGCTGGACTCCCACATACTGAACCGTGAGCATGTCGGGTGAGCAAAACTCACAGCCTGCCTGGCCGAAGGCTGCAGGGTGGTCCCCGTGCCGCCTCAGTCCTGGCCGAAGGGAACGGTCTCCTGTCGCTTAAGCTTGTTGGTTTGACCCAGAATCTCCCTGATGCCTGAACTGTCACTGTCACTTTGACGACCCAAACCCACTGCCCGCCAACTCCGGCCCAGGGCCACCGTGTAGGACAGAGCTGTCCCTGTGGGTGTCTGAGACGGGAAGTCTTTCCAGGAGCAGAAAGTCCCGACTTTCTCTTAGGAGCAGCTGCTGGTTTCAAGCTGCCGACCCCGCAGTCCGAAGCCCAGCACGTAACCCATTACACCTCAGGGCTCCCAAACCCGTAACAGAGAGAGAGGCTGATCCAGATGCGTTGGCTCCAGGTGCCAACACCCATCTGGGTAAAGTGAGAAGCAGGGTGTTTTGGGACAGTTTCCTTTGAAGAATTCTCCAGCGATAGAAGACTTCCACATTAGAAAAGAAAGAAGTGGGCAGAAACCATAAGCTCACGACGGAGTGAGTGAGTGAGGTGAGTGAGTGGGCGGGTGAGTGAGTGGGTGGATGAGTGAGTGGGTGGATGAGTGAGTGAGTGGATGAGTGAGTGAGTGAGTGAGTGGGTGGATGAGTGAGCGGGTGGATGAGTGAGTGGGTGGATGAGTGAGTGAGTGAGTGGGTGG